GCTTCGGATCGGCGCAGCTCCAGCTTGTAGTCATTTTGGGGAGTGAACCAGTGGATGGAAGACCTCTCTCTCTGACTCTCCCTCTCTGTAACTCTGTCTTTCAAATAAATAAATCTTTAAAAAACAACAGAGCAGATCTCAAGTCCCAGCACCCAGCAGAAAAACTGCAGCGATGGCCAGAAGCTTCTAGAAGATGTGTCTTAGCTCAAGATGAAGAAAGCCCGTTAGAGAAATCAAAACCCCCTGTAGGAGCAAAGCCGAGAGCAGGCAGTGAGTGTCACACGCGCACTTGAGCGCCGTAGACTCAGAATTCCAAGGGCGAGTCGGGGTGACCAGCAGCCCGGCTTCCCCCAGCCCTGACCGCTGCTCTGCACCGAACAGGATGCACCGGGCGGCTCCGGCAGCCCATGTCACACCCGCCTCCTACTGCTCCCGCGGGACAAAGCCCCCACCACATCCAAGAAGAAAGGGCTGGAGAGGCCCAAGAGTCCAGGCACCCGGCCACAGGTCACACAGCGCGTCGCGGCGTCTGGCCCACGCCTGAATGCTTACGTTCATAACCTGAGCAGGGTGCCCGGAACCCAGCGGGTCAGAGCTCCTGGACAAGGTCAAGCGGGGTGCAGTTTGCTCCTGCGGAAGCAGCAGCCACGTGCGTGTGGCTCCATGAGCTGCACTTCCCCCAGCAGCCACCGCCACATCCTCGCGGGCACAGCGCTCGCAGCCGCACCTGCGCCGTCTCTCCCCACCCCGCGACCCCCAGGCGAGGCAGCTGAGGCTCAAAGTGAAGTGATCCACTCTCGGAGGTCACACAGCCTGCACCCGCCATCCTGCACGGGCGGGCGGCAACATGTATTCTCTGCTTGCACTGCCGCTGCCTCGGGCCAGGGACAAGAGAGAGCGAGCTGCCTGCACCCCCGAGCGCTGGGGACAACTGGTTTGCAGTCTTGGAGGGAGGAGGTCCCACTGAGTGCTGGACAGTGACCCCGCGCCAGACAGAGAGGGGACAGCACAGTGCCCGTGTCACCCTCCAGGAAACCCAGGCATTGCATAACCACCGTGCAGGCACCTAGTCCTAACATAAAAGTCGGGGGGGGGGGGGGAGGTGTGCATCACAGCTGTGACCTCCCGTGGCCCTGGGGCCCCTGCCACGGAGCCCACGTTAAGCAGCAGACCCCAGGGGCAGACTGGTGGAGAGGGGAATATAGACCGGGATCAGAATAGCTCAGCTAAGCGGGGGAGCCTGAGCCCGAGGCAGGAGCGGGGCTGCCGGGGTGGGACGGGAGCTGAGCCGCGGCACCTGCCCATCTCCCGAGTGCCTGGAGCCCGCAGCGCCCACTGTGTCTGCCTTAACCCTCAGCGGGGCCCATGCCCCCGAGGGGACTGAGCTCAGGGCCTGGGAGGGGACAAAGCCAGCCCCCTGCCCACCAGCTCCCAGCTCTCTTCCGTATGTCCCACCCCGCCCCTCTCATGCCCGAGCTCACCTCCCGCAGCTGCCTCTCTACTCTGCAGACAGCTCGGCCCCCAGCCTGTACCCAGGGCAGCAGTGGCTTCGGCCAGGGGAGGACAGGCCCCTCCGGGGAGGTGGCCGGGAGAAAGGCCCCCACCTGAACGGCCCCCACTCCCTCCTGGGCTGCTGGGGACACTTCCTCACCCCACCTCCACATCTCAGGGGACCCAGCTGTGAAAGCCTGCATCCCCCAGGTCTCACACTCGCCCCTGCTACACGTCCCAGCTGTGCGACCCAGGGGCTGAGGCCAGGCCAGCAAGGGCCACTCCAACACACATGGCTTTCTCAGGAGGCTGATGGCCAAGGTCAAGGCCTTGTGGCAAAGTGGCTGGGTGGGGAGGGCCTGTGTCTGATCGCAGATGGGGCCTTCTCTCCCTAACTTCACACAAGGTGGGGAGCCTGCTCCCTGGGGTCTCTAACCCTGTTTCTGGGGGCCCTACCTCCTGAGGCAAGCACCTCCCAAAAGCTTCCCCTCACCCCTCTCCATCACCTTGGGGTCAGGGTCACCTGTGAGGACAGCAGCCTTCAGCCAGGGCAGCCGGCTCTGGAGCCCCTCCCCAGCCATCTGGTCTCCCTCACATCCCCGGGGTCACTGTCTTTCCAGACCAAGGCTCCAGCGCTCACCCGGCCTCCTGCTGCCTCCCCTTGGCCCCCTCACCAGTGGCCCTCGGTGGCTCCCACCCCACGGAAGTTTCCAAGCCCCGTGGACGAGAACCTCCCAAGCGCGCCCCTGCACTGCCAGTCCCCTCTCCTGCAGCACGTCCGATGACCGGCACCCCCTGAACACACCCGGTCCCCCGTCACCACCCCAGGCCCTTGGACTGGCGCTGGCACGAGGGTCTGCAAAAGGATCACTGGGAAAGGAGGAAGACAGAAAAAAGACGCGTGCATTTCCAATTTTTTTGCACCAAAACGAACCTATCTTCTGATTCTGCTTTCCCGTGCACTTGGCAACGTCCCCTAGTATTTCAGGACCATTGAACAGTGAGGCACTCGGCGTCCCACCTGGCGCCTGCCCCCCCACCCCCCACGTCAGCGGGGACGGCGCTCGAACACGCGTTTCCACAGCAGAATGCAATGGCCACACTCGGGCCAGGGCTATAAACAGCTTCCGGGACACGATGGGGCGGGTTTCTCCGCCGACCCGGGGTGGGGGGAGGAAGAGCCTCACACTATGCAGGGCGGCTGGGTTTCAGGATCCCGTTAGCAGCCTCCGGTGCACAGCGATGGGTTTTCCTTGTTGTCTCCCAGGCAGGGAGCAGGGGCCACCGCTGGGCGGCACGGGCAGACGGCGCCCCAGCCATGGGCTCTCGGCCACGCTGCCGGGCGCGGCGTGTGGGGCTCCGTCTCTCCGGCCACTGCCTGTCCTCAGCGTCACGTCGAGTCCTCCCGAGTGCCTGCACTCCGTCCGCCTGCTCCTCGGCGATCACCGTAGACGCCAGGCCGTGTCTACACAGCAGACGGAAACGGCTTCCCCCTGAAGCTGGGAAGGTTTACTTTCCTGATTATGCGGCTGGGTGCATTTTCTTGAATTTAGAAAATCTTCGTGTGCCCCTTTCTGAGGGCTGTGTCTCCTCGTGGTCTTTATCGTTCGGCTGGCGTTCTGGGGCGGGATCGTGCTTGAACCATTGGGAAATGAGTCCTTTCTCGGTAATGCGTCTTCGACCTCCCCATCTCAGTGTCATCTAAACCACTCACCAAGTTCCTTTTCATTATATAAACTCAGAGCTTATTTCTAGAAAGTTCTCAAATTCTCAGGCTACTTCTTCATTTAGGTGCCATCATCGGGACACCAACCGCATGCGTCTCTCTTCGGTGTCTCTCTCGGGTCGCCTTCTCCCTTCCTCTATACGAACTGGTCCTGCTTTTCCCCACCCCATTTTCCATATCTCTTACTGCACTTCCCATATCTCCTACTGTATTTTAAATACACAAGAAAAAAGCTAAACTGGGGGGCTGGTGTGTGGCGTAGCAGGTAAAGCCACTGCCTGCAGTGCCGGCATCCCATGTGGGCACCAGTTCGAGTCCCAGCTGCTCCTCTTCTGATCCAGCTCTCTGCTGTGGCCTGGGAAAGCAGTAGAAGATGGCCCAAGTGCTTGGGCCCCTGAACCTGCATGGGAGACCGGGAAGAAGCTCCTGGATCCTGGCTTTGGATCGGCTTAGCTCCTGCCATTGAGGCCAACTGGGGAGTGAACCAGCAGATGGAAAACCTTTCTCTCTATCTCTCCCTCTCTCTGTAACTCTGCCTCTCAAATAAATACATAAATCTTAAAAAAAAAAAAAAAAAAGGCATGAGGAAATGTGATTCAAGGAGGAGGAAGGGGCTGACGGTGTCGGAGCAAGCCAGCACAGAGCGCACACGGACGGTGTCGGAGCAAGCCAGCACAGAGCGCACACGTCAGCCCTAGCCCGGGGCCCAGTCCTCTCCAAGTCCTCAGGGCTCGGCGCGGGCAGAGTCGTGCCTCTCAGCACCTGTGTTCTGGGGCGACCAGAAGGTTCTCTCCAAGACGCAGAAGGAAGCTAGGACTCGGCGCGCACAGCGAGAAGGCTCCAGCTGGCGATGGCACGCGTCCACTGCCTCTCAGCTTCCTACGGCAGCGGCAGGCGGCGTCACTCAGCTGCGCGAGGAGCGCCCCGTCTGCTCCTCCATTCCCCACCGCCCCCAGGAGCAGACACCCAGCCTTTGTTCCTGCAGGAACAAACTGCCCCTGAGCGGATCGGCAGCCCCCGGAGGGAGGGGACCGGCACGTTCCGGCTCCCATCTCTTCTCCATCTCTGGACCTATCCCAGCCGACACTGCTGCAGCACCCACACTGACTGTCCCACGTCTCAGCCCCGCCCCCACCCCGCTCACCATGGCACGGCCGGTCCTGCGGTCACTGGTGCCCAGCACAGTGACCGAGGTCAACAGGAGAAGGACAGAAACAGGACTGGGAGGTTCAAGCACAGCTTTTCTCAGTGTGTTCGTGTGGACACAGCTGAACACAACCCACCCAGGATGCAGTGCGGAGACCAGGCCTGGCCGCTCACTCCTTCCTCTCATCTGGACATCGCCCAGGTGCCCGGCGTCCGTCAGCCCTGGTGGCGTTGGCGTGCAGGCTGCAGGGCGTGCTCAGGGCTGCTGGTGTCCACAGCAGAAACACCTGCGCTTCTCTGCTCGTTTATTTTGGGCCTGGTGGCTGGTCCGCCGTTTACGGTAGAGAGCCCGTTTTTAAAGGAACAGGAGGTGAGTGATACACAGCAGTCTGTGGTGGCCCTGGCTGACCAGCGCTCAGGAGGAAGAAACGTGACACAGTGGGCACACGGCAGGCAGCCTGCCGTCGACCAGAGGGCCACGCCACACCCGGGGCGGGCGCCACGGGGACCAAGGGTCCTCTCTCTCTCGGGACCTCTGCCCAGCACAAGGAGGGGGGCAGTGTGTGTTCCTGTTAAGACAAAGCCCGTTTCTAGAAGAAGCAGGGGTGAGAGGGCAGAGGGGCGCACAGCAGCCCACGCGGTTCTCACGCAGCTGCTGGCCGTTACCCCGCACACGCGCTGGTTCGCAGGCTCAGCAGCGCTGACCAAGCACTCCCATGGGAGGCCTTGAAAGCTCAGAGTGAGGGGCACTCAACGCAGGCTCCCGACCGCTCGGATTTCTTCTCACGCGCCCACTCCCAGACGCCAAGGCGCTCGGCGGCAGAAACCCGACTCCGTCACCTTCTTCTAAACCAGGGAGTCGGACCCCGGCTGACGACGGCTCAGGCCAGCCCCCGGGGACAGCCCCTCCTGCTGCCAGATTACCTCCCTGCCCACCTGTGGAGCGGTCTCCCACCCACTCTACACTCACTGTGAACTCCTGCCTGGACAGCGGCCCCTCCAGGGTCAAGTTCGAGCGCCTTGCTGGCACCCCCACCCCACCACACCTTGCACACCGCACCGTCCAGCCAGCCCCCCGCCCATACTGCCGGCCTCTGAAGACCAGCCCCCCGCCCCCAGAAGCCAGTATCATCTCCATCCCCGCAGAGAGGGGGCAGCCCAGGCCCCCTTCCCAGAACTCGGCAAATAACATTGTCCACCGCCACGCCTCGCCCTTCATGCCGGTTCCCCGGGGGTGACCACGAGCCCCCAAAGCCCCTACTGTGTTGGATGCTGAATCCCCAGTGCAACAGTGCAGGGTGGGGGGGCTCACGGGAGGTGCTGTCCCGTGGAGGGAGAGGGTTTGTTGTCAGAGCCCCCCCTGTTGCCTTTCCACCTTCCAGTGCGGGGTGACGGCGCCAAGGCCTCACTGGGCGCCCGGCCTTCCATCTCGGACTCCCAGAACAGTGAGGAATAAGTTGCTTTTCCTCATATATCACCCAGACATGGGTGTTCTGCCACAGCTCTGCAAAGCAGGCCAACACAGGGACCACGCCCAGGCCCCCAGACCTAGCTCGGGGATGGACGGACGGACGGACAGGCGAGCAGACAGTGTCCCAGGAATCCACTTTCTGGGTAGTCCCACAAAGGGTCTGTACAGAGCTGCGTACTGGGCAGTAAGCTCTGTCCCAACAAGCTCCAGCCACAACCCCAGCCCTAGGAGCAGGAAAAGCAGACGCAGGGACACCCAGAGTCCTACCAGGCCCTGTTTGCCGGCCCGGAAATCTGCAGGGTGGGTGTGGGGAGGACACATCAGCAAGCACAGGGCGTGGACAGAGGCCCCCGGCGGTGGGGAGCAGACGGACAACAGAGCACGCCTGGTGCTCCAGCCCCGGCCTTCCGCGTCCTCCTGGCACCCATCCTAATCCTACTCACATCCTTCCATCGGGATCTGCTAGAGAGCCGAGGCCAGCAGCCCGGGCCCTGGGAGAGGCCCTGGAGGCCCCGGGCACAGCCATCAGCTGGGCAGGGAGGTGCTGAGCCCAGGGGTCAGCACCACGGACAGCGCCCACCGGGCGCTTGGGTCCTTCCCGGGGAGCTCTGGGGAGGCTGCAGGCCCCACGGAAGGGAGCCATGAGCAGAAGCGAGGAGGCTGGGGCATTGAAGCACCGCACCTGGCTGACCCTGCGTGAGGGCTGTCCCTGGTGAGGCTGTAAGCTCCCAGCTCCCAACTCCCTGGTGCACAGGACGAGTGGGCTCCGGCTGCCCGAGGAAGCACTGCAGGTCTCCACGCACGGAAGCAGGGAAGAGATCCAGGGGACAGAGGTCCAGTCCTCCCAGACTCCCGGCTGAAGGAGACCCCACTCCGCCACCCGCCCCACAAGGCCTCCGCGCCCTGCAGCCCCAATCCCGGCCCGCAGGCTACAACCCTGCCCTAGAACGCGGCCACACTCTTCCTCTCCACCGGCCTCCATGCAGCCTAGGGACCCTTGTGGGGCGGCCTGCTCAGAGCCCCCACGTCCCTGCTCACGCTCGTGCCCAGACCCCATCCACACCCCAGCTCTCTTCCCATCCCGGCAAGGAACAAGGGGACTTGGAGGAGGGGGGCTCACTCAGAAATAAAGGGGCTGTGCTGTGGACAGGAGGACCTCGAGTCTCTGCCTGCCCCCAGCACTGCTGTCAGAAGGAACCGCCCTCTGTGCCTTCCCTGTCCATGCACAGCCCACGGCTGTGGTGAGGCCGCCTGACCACGCTGGTCACACCCAGGACACAGCCCAGCCGGAGCCAAGCACTGAGCGTGGCTGGGCGGAGGCGGCTGGCCGCGGCGTCACCCTCCAAGCTCAGGCCGTCACGTTGTGATGTGACCTAGACGCTGTCAGCGGCTTGGGAGACCCGGGGCGACGACTCTATGGCTTGAGCTGCGAGACCACCAGACTGTGTCTAACGTGTGGCTCAGGCCTGCCGCTGTGCCATCTGCCCCCAGCAGAAGGCGTGTGCCCCACTCCGAGCCGCGGGCTAAGGATGAGTCTCCTGCCCGGGGAGCATCCGCCCCGCCCACTCTCGGCAGGAAGGCCCGGGCTGAGGTCCAGCTGCCCTGGGACGCAACCGACCCCACACAGCAAAGGGAACCTGCCCTCAGCCATCTGCTTCAGCCCCTGGAGCTGTCGACCCGAGGCCATTCAGCCCAGTCCAGGCAGCATGGCCAGTGGGCTGGGGGACGGGGCCCAGGGACACACGACGGGGATGAGGATGCTGAAGATGGCACTCACAGCAGGTGCCCAGGTAGACCGCACACTTGCCGTGTACCTGGCATTCACCGAATGCTCTCTACGAATGCACTCACTCACACGCCCGTCAATCCCAGGATACGGGTACAGCTGACCGTCCCATTAGCACAGACCGGGTAAGCAACCAGCAGAGGCCACACAGCCAGGAAGGGGAGCGGTGGGGCTCTGGGCCCACGCTCCCCACCACTGCCCGGATGGCACAGCGACAGCCAGGTCCCAAGCCTCCCAAGGGAGGCACCTGCCGTCCCCATCACAGCCCCCGGACTTGTGGCCTTGCCTGGTGCCACACAGGAGACTCAGCGTAGAGCCTGCCAGGCCCCCAGGACCCGTGGCCTAAATCGCTGAGTTTCCCGGTGGCCCTGCTTGGCGAGCACCGTGCAGGTGTCCCCGCATCACACACGCCCTGGAGAACAAAGCCCTGCAGGGCCCCTACTTCGCAAGCTTCCAGGAAAGAGGAGGCTCCTCCCTCTCTCGAGGATCCCGCCAGCTGCCCAGCAGCCACATGGCTGCACCGATTCCACACACACTCAGGGCCCCACCAGCCCTAACAGGGCCAGCGTGACCTCGGAAACCCGCGTCTGGCTTCTCTGCCTCCCACTGCGTGTAGTAGAGGCCTTCCGGGCAGGGGATTCGACGGCACGCACACGGCACATGCTCCTGCCTGGCTCCGGGGCACCAGCCGCACCCAGCCCACACCAGAGAGAGGAAGACACGGAGAGAGAGATCTTCCATCTGCTGGCTCACTCCCCAAATGGAATAAACGCAATGGCAGGAGCCTGGACTCCATCCGGGTCTCCCACGTGGGTGCAGGGCCCAAGCACTTGGGCCATCTTCCAGTGCTTTCCCGGGTGAATTAGCAGGAAGCTGGATTGGAAGCAGAGCAGCCGGGACTCGAACCAGTGCTCTTATGAAATGCGGCATCCGCAGGCAGAGGCTTAACCAGCTCTGCCACAACACCAGCCCCAAAACAGGGGGCTTAAAATGCATGACCCTCACTCATGCAAGTGACCCCCTTTGCAGGTTCCCCACCAAGATGGCCCCCACATGTCACAGAACCAGAGCAGGGGGCCTCCTGGCAGAATGGCTTTGAGCCTCCCCAAGGTCTCCCAACTCACGCGGCTGCACCGGGAGCAAAGGACTCTGGGAACCAGCATTTTCCTGACGCTCTCGGTGAGGGAGAGGGGCTGACGCTCAAAGCCCGACTCTGCCACTTCCTTATGAGCAACTGCGGGCTCATTCTACCACCTCTCTGTTCATCCTTAAACTCAGAGGCACCGCCCCCTCACGGACCCACATTAGGACCAAGCAAAGCCGCACACTCCGGAGAGCCCACTGCAAACCGACAAGCGCCGTGCTCAGGTTGGGACTTTTTGTCTGAGGTCCCGGGTGAGGCCGCCAGGCCACCCCGATTCTGTCCACCAGCCAGTGGCCCAGGGGCCGTGGAAAATGCTGAGACCAGCTCAGCACCCCCGCCGACCAGCCCGCCTCCTCGCCGCCTGGACAGACCGTCAGCAGCCAGGACAGGCACCACAGTTCCCACTGGTCAGATGAGACAGGCGAGGCTCCCACACCCTTCCACAGAGCAGAGCACTGCCTGCTGGAAAACAAGCAGCCGAGAGCAAGTCGTGGGTGGACAAGCGAGCGTCCCAGCAGGGAGCCGAGGGGGCTCCGGCTCGGGCAGCGGCCGGGGAGAGGTCTTGGCAGAGAACGAGGGCTTGAGGCACAGGGGTGGTGCCAGGGGAGCTCTGGAAGCCAAGGCTGGCGGGAGCCCAAGACCTGCGGGGTGGTGGAGGGGAGAGACAGCAGGCGAGGGCCGGCCCGGGGATCCCCGGGGAGCTGGCCTGGATCCCACAGCCAGGCGCCTCGGGGCCGGGAGCCGGGCAGTGGCAGCAGGCACGTGAGAGGGCGCCAGCCTCAGAGGCCCACAAGTGCAGAGGGCCCTGGCACGCTTCGTGGGGACACGCTGCCACGCAGGCTGGCACCCAGCTCCCATTGTGCCGGCAGAGCAGAGCCTCCCACGCTCCGGTTTCCATGGGAATCCCCTTGAAGTAACCCCAGAGCTGGCGGCGGCTCCTCCCCGCGGAGGAGGAGGAGGGAGGCGGCCACCCCCGTGCCCAGGACGCCGTGGCAACACCGAGGCCCAGCCCCAGGGAGCCTGCCCAACTCACACGCACCCGCAGAGGGGGGATGGGGGCCTCAGGGCCCTCCCGCACCCCTGCCCTACCGGGGGGCACCCCCAGATCTTCCCCTGCCCCTGCAAGGCAATGGAAGGAGGAACCGGGCAGTCTGCCCGTCTCCCTTTGAGAAGGCTCCACAGGGACCCAGGGAGGCCCAGGTTTGCAGGAGTCGGCGGGGGTCAAGTCCAGGGTCCATCTCACAGGGGCAGCATGACCCTGACCGGCCGCTGCACTTCCCGGAGCCCCCACTTTCTCGTGTGCTTCACCCGGCCAAGGCCCAGGTACACGGAGGTGCCGGCACACCCTGCAGCCCCACCCCCCCCCCGGACGAAGGCACTGCCCCTTCTCCCTCCAGGGTGGGGAAAGCGCTGTTCACTCAGCTGTCCGCGCAGCCGCTGTCTTCTTAGCCCCGCCTCAGGGGGCATTCGTGGGGAGCCCAGGACACACAACCCTGCGACATGCGGGGCCACCACACCGCTGACGAGTGAGAAGCCCACAGCTCAGGGGCAAAGAGCCAGGCTGCTGAGCCACAGGGCACACGCCCGCCGCTCCCACGGCCACCCCGGGCCTGAGAACTGCTGTCATTGTTCCTTCGCGAAGGGGGACACTCGGGCTCGGAGGGGCCGCAGGGACAGCACCTGCGCCCGGGGCCCCGGACACGTGCCCGAGACCCTCTTCTCAGGCTGCTCGGGGCCTCCCTGGCCTCCCCGCACCACGAGTGACAAGCACAGACCCAGGCCCCACACCGCGTGGCCCAGCCCACCCCTCTCCCAACACCAGCACCAGCAGCTCAGAGCCAGCGTGCACAGCTCCCCCACTGTGGGAAGCCAAGTGGCATCCCACAGGTCCCAGGCGGGGGCGAGAGCCGCGACCTCCAAGCCCCCTTCCCCTGTGTGCTCCCTCTATCCAGACAACCAAGAGAACCCCAAGCCAACGGCCATCACCCCAAAGGGGGGCACTGCACCAAGCCACCTGCACGAAGCAGGGGTCCAGAGGTGACCCCCACTGACAGCCCTCCCAGCCTGTCACCGCCCAGCACCCGGAGCGGTGCTCCAGGGGAACCGGCCAGGTCTCCGGTGCAGCACAGCCCAGCGGAGGGGCTGCTCGCTCTCTGCTCGGCGACGGCACACCGGCAGGCACGGGGGCTCCCGGGAAGGCTTCAGACGCCAGGTGCTGCGGGCCAGGAGCACGAACCAGCGCAGGAATGGAAGCGGAGCACCGCACCCTCTGCCTGGGAGATGCTGGCATGGGCGTCTCCACTGCATCCTGGGAAATCAGGGAAACCATGACCAGACACAGCCGGGGCCGTCAACGGAGACCCCGCGGGGAAGCCCCCGTGGCCGGCAGAGAACGAGGCACACGTGCACCTGCCAGTCAGAGACCTGAGCTTCCCTACCAAGCTCTGCCAGGGGCTGTCCACCTGCTACCCTCAGAACACATGGACGTGGGGCCGGTCCACCAAGGGCTGTCCACCTGCTACCCTCAGGACACACAGACGTGGGGCCAGTCCACCAGGGGCTGTCCACCTGCTACCCTCAGGACACATGGACGTGAGGCCAGTCCACCAGGTGCTGTCCACCTGCTACCCTCAGGACACATGGACGCGGGGCCAGTCTACCAGGGGCTGTCCACCTGCTACCCTCAGGACACATGGACGCAGGGCTGGCGCTATGGATCAGCAGGTTAAGCTGTCACTGTGACGTCAGCATCCCATATTGGTGCCAGTTTGAGTCCCGGCTGCTCCACTTCCAATCCAGCTCCCTGCTAGTGCAGCTGGGGAGGCAGTGGAGGACGGCCCAAGTGCTTGGGCTCCTGCGCCCATGTGGGAGACCCTGAGGACGCTCCTGGCTCCTGGCTTTGGCTTGGCCCAGCCCTGGCTGTTGCAAGCATCTGGGGAGTGAACCAGCTGATGGAAGATCTGTGTGTGTGTGTGTGTGTGTGTGTGTGTGTGTGTGTGTGTGACTCTGCCTTTCAAATAAATAACTCTTTAAAAAAAACCCAGTTGTGACTAATGTTTCATGGTTTTCACAGGTAAATTGGCCCTTTCCACTACAGGTGTACTTGACAGGAATAACTCAAGAGTTGTGCTGACCCCAGCCCTGATGACCCTGGGCCCTGGGGGGAGCCCTGCGGAGCGTGGACAGCCTTGCCCCCACACAGCAGGGGAACAAACCACCACGGCCCCTCCCCAGAGTTCTGGACAAGTCAGATGCTGAGAGGATTTGGTGTTCAGAGACGGGGCTCCCAGGGAAGAGGGGGATCTACTCTGGCCAGGGAGGACGCCCGCCGGACCCCCACCTGGCAGCAGAACCTCGCGCCCACCTCCCGCGGGGTCCCCAGGGCCCCGACCCCCAGGAGCCCCTGCTGCTCTCCCAGCCACTCGCCAGCCTGCACAGCTGCGCGCAGGGCGACTCCTGCAGCAGCCAGGTCGCCCCGGAGACGCAGGGTGCGGTCACCCCAGCTCTCGGGACACGGGCCAGGCGGGGGTCCAGTCGGATGTCGCCACCCTGCTGGCCATGCCGCCCTGGGCAAGAGACTGGCCCCTCTCAGCCCCAAGCTGCAGGCAGGGGCGGGGGTGCCAGGAACAAGTGCAGACGCCTGTGGGGAGCAGCCCCCGGCATCTAGGCCATGTCGGCAAGCAGCCACCCCGGCTTGCCCTCCCCTCCCCCAACAGCCCCAGCTGCTGCTGAACACGGGGTGTCTCACCATGCAGGGTCCGAGGAAAACCAAGCAAGCACTCGGCCTCCTCTCGAAGCCTCCCAAGCTGGCAGAATGACAGATGACCACGCAGGTCAGCCTGGGAGCTCCGGCCTCCGGGGCTCACCGGCCCCCAGGCATCCAAGCGGTAACAAAGGCAGGCGGCGGGGAGCAGCCCTCAGACGCGGCACCCACCAGGGCAGCCACCCGGAGCCCAGACCTGAGCCAGGCGGCACCTGGACCTGCAGCACTGAGTTCAGATCCTGGCGCCTGGGACTCCGAGCTGAGAAACGAAGCTTCGGTCTCTGCGCCCGACTGGAGGCGAGAGTCCCACACCTGGGCGGAGGGGGGCTGGAGGCCGCCCCTGCCAGCACCCCCCCACACATGGTATGGCTCCCTGCACCCGCTTCAGGGGCCCTGCAACCCCGGAACCCACTCAGGGTCTGCCTCCTGTCTTCTCCTATACTCAACAAAGGCTGAGGGAATCCACTTCTTCCAGGAAGCCCTCCCTGACCTGCTGCCCAAGCTGGTCAGGTGCCTCCTCAGCACAGCTCAGTCGTAGGCTCCTCCCCCTCGACAGTGACCACTGCTCCACCTGGCCTGCTGTGGGGACCCCTCAGGACCTCACTCATCCCATCCACGGCCACGCCCCCTCCCAGCAAAGCGTCCAACACGAGGCAGGCCACGTGCACGGTCCCTCACAACACCTCCGTCCTGAGCTGCATGACCCCGGCTCAATCCACCACCTGATGGGGCAAACCCCACAGAAAACATCACAGCCCGGGGGGGGGGGGGGGTTCCTCTCCTGTGCCTCACTTTGTGCCTAACGGGCAGGGGTGGGGCTGGGAGGGCGGGATCTGCACCTGGGGAGAGGCCCGGACAGTAAATCCAGTGGAGCCTGCCCGGCTGCCTGCTTACAAAGCTAATCAATGCTTCACACAGCCTGGGCCGGGTGCCCTGGGGGAGGGCAGGCCGAGGAAATGCTGCCCCCACTGCGATCAGGACCCCGCCCCTCCCAGCACCTGACCCCCAGGTCCTGTGCCAGTCTGAAGCCCTCCCGGGGCAGGAGGAGAACAGGTGCCCTTTCCTCCCGGCCACACACTGGCACTTGTGGCCCCCGAGGTGGGGCCCCCAGGGAGGCCCGTGCTGTGCACCCCCTTAGAAGGGACAGACACAGAAACCCCAAAGACTAGGTCTGCAGCCACTGCCCCAACTGACCACTGCACAGTCGCCTCTGGCCTCGTATGGACAGGATGGCTGGACAGTGGTCCCCATCTGGGGTTTTGAGAATGGGGTCCCCAGGGGCCAGCACTGTGGCTCAGCGGGTTAGGCACCACCTGGGACACCAGCATCCCATGTAAGCACAGGTTCAAGTCCCGGCTGCTCCACTTCCGACCCAGCTCCCTGCTAATGTGCCTGGGAAAGCAAGGGAAGACGGCCCAAGTGCTTGACCCTCTGCACCCACATGGGAGACCTGGACGGAGCTCCTGGCTTCTGCCTGGCCCAGCCCCAGCTGTTGGGAGTGAATCAGAGGATGGAAGATCTGTGTGTGTGTGTGTGTGTGTGTGTGTGTGTCTCCCTGTCTCTCCATAACTCTGCCTTTCAAACAAATAAATAAATCTTTAAAAAAGAAAGAAAGGAAAGAAGGAAGGGGGGGAGGGAAACGGGTCACCTACTGGGAAGGTGTGAACAGCAAGGCATGATGGGAATGCCCTGCTCTGGCCTGGAAGCGGCTGGGAGTCCTTGGCACAAAGCCGAGTACCCTGGGACCTCCTGGCCCAGGGCGCTCCCCGGGACACACTCATGTCCCAGCCTGGGAACTCCAGGACACCGCAGGAGAGGCGGGGCTGGGCAGGCTCTGCTCGCTCTGCAGGAGCCTCTGTCCACGTCGGCGTGGACTGCCCCCCCGCCCTGGCCCCGGCGCCTCGTGGCTGCAAGGTACTCCCGCGGTTGGCTGAAGGGCCAAGCAGGGATGGGCATGGGTCAGAGCCTTCACCCGTCCCCTGGGAGGTGGAGGCGCAGGACAGATGCGCGGGGCTCCCTCTGCCCCAGGCCCCTAAGGTGGGCCCACACGGCCCTCCTGTCCCTGTCCATCCCTGAGGGGACCCCAGAGCGCATCCTGTCCCTGAACCAGAGCTGAAGACACCGAGCTGCACAGAGCGACTGCAGACCAGGGGCGCCTGAGCCCCCTTCACGGGTCCGGCAGCAGGGGAGGGGCCCCGAGAGAAGAAGCGCTGCAGGCAGCACCCACGGCAGCAGGGGCCCGGCCCCCGCCCATGCCTGCCGCACATCGTCCTGGGCCCTCAGGAACACCTCCAGTGAGACGCACGCACACAGAGCGGCCCCAGCACCCACGGGCACCTGTGTGGGCCCAGAGCGCCGTGTCCGGCTGTTGAGAAACCGGCCCCGTGGTGCTGAGCCAATGAGGAGCGGGAGGGCAGCGTGTCCTTCTCGGAGCTGGCAGTGCCAGGGCAGCCGAGCAGAAACGCCCGCCCGGCTCACCCGCTCCTGCGCCACACGGCTCCACCTCCGGCCGCCCCTCCCCGACGGGCGCCCTGCAAAACCCAGCTGTCGAGGGGCTGAGGACAGGCTGCACCCTGGCCCCCGCCCCACCTGGCGCACCTGCAGGGAGGCCGCGAGCCGACCCACTAACGAAAGCTTTCACCCACCTCCTCTTCCTGTGTTGCAAGGAGCAGAGGTGGGGGCTGCCCGTGCCACTGGAACAGCCTGGGCTGCAGGGAGAGCCCCGCGCACCCCGCAACCATCCAGGATGGCCGAGACAGTGCAGCCCGCACGGGGGCAGCGGCCAAGGTCAGGCGGGGCCGGAGCTGCGTAGATCTTGGCTGCTCACCTTGGCCCAGCCCAGGCCATCTGCGGCTGACGGCATTTCCCAGGGAGGCCCCGGCTCCATCTCCTGTCCCATCTGCTCACCCACGCTGTGACCTGGATCTTCCCACTTCCAAAGGTGGAATCCAACTCCCGCTGGACCCCACTGGCCTCGCCCCGAGCCTGACCACGCCGGACGCCTCATCTGCTGCCCGAGGAGGTCCCCACACTGAAGAGGGACCCGGCCCTGCGGCCAGCCCACCTCGGCTTAGCTGTCACTCAGAACAGAAGCCCAGCCCCTCCCAAACTCCTGACCCACAGAACCTGGACACAGAACAAAGGCCCTGGGGTCCAGTCGCTTGCTATGGTGATGTACGTGGACGGTGCTCTCCTAGCTTCTTTCTTAGTGCATACTGGGGGTGGCCCCCACCCCGCCTCCCGCAGGGCACCCAGTGCTAACTCCACAGCAGCTGTCAAGAAACCAGCCGAGGGGCCAGCGCTGTGGCGTAGCGAGTGGAGCCGCCGCCTGCAGTGTCGGCATCCCACGTGGGCACCAGTTCAAGTCCCGGCTGCTCCACTTCCGATCCAGCTCTCTGCTGTGGCCTGGGAGAGCAGTGGAAGATGGCCCAGGTGCTTGGGCCTCGGCACCCATGTGAGAGACTGAAGAAAACTCCTGGCTTCGGATCAGATCAGCTCCGGCCATTGCGGCCATCTGAGGAGTGAACCAGCAGATGGAAGACCTCTCTCTCTCTCTCTCTCTCTGCCCTTCTGTGGCTCTGCCTTTCAAAATAATGAATAATTCAAGAAAGAAAAAAAGGAGGGAGGGAGGGAGGGAGAGAAAGAGAGAAACCAGCTGAGCAGAAGAGCCAGGAGCTGCCCCTCCCCACCGGACCCCCGCCGGAGGGGACAAACACAGCCACAGTGGAAATCAGTCCTCTTCCTCTTTTTTCCTGAAGCAGGAGAGACGGAGACAGACGGGCTCGCTGCAGCCCACAGAGGATCCAGTTCTGTGCCGTACGCGTGGACGGCCCCTTTAAAACCACCCAGGGCAGGGCAGGTGTTCGCCTAGTGCCAAAGCTGCCCGTGAATGGCCCACCCCCCACACTCGAGCACCTGGGTTTGGGCCCCCGCTCCGCTCTCAATTCCACTCTCCCGCTGCTGCACGCCCTGGGAGGCACAGGGGGGCTTGCGTGTGGGACACCTGGCTGGAGTTCCTGGCTCCTGGCCGCTGCAGCCATCTGGGGAGCAAAGTAGCCAATGGGTTCTCTGTCTCTGTCTCTCTCTCTCTCTGCTTCTCTCTCTCTCTCTCTCTCTCTCTCTCTCTCTCTGCCTCTCAAATGGAAAAGAAAAGGGAATCACCAAAATCTCAATTTTGGCAAATTTAATTTTGAGCTCGGTAGACAACATGGCAGCCCAACCTGCCCAAGCCATCAACACCGCTCTAACCTCTCACCACCCGCGGGCCGGACAGGGAACCCTTTGAAACGGCGACGGCCACTTGCCAGGGTGCCCGTGGCGTCTTGATGGAAGACAGCCAAAGTGGGAGTAGCCGAGGCCAGCGGTGGGGGGAGCTTCTCCACCCCCCGCACCCTCCCTACCGCCTGGACCCCTCGGCATCCCACACCTCCGCCCGGGGCTGTCTCACGAAGGGGTTTCCTCACTCGGCCCACCTGCACCTCCACTCCCCTCTCAGACTCCTGACACCTCGGGCCACCTGCCCTGCCTGGCGGACGGCACCACACCTGCCCAGGGCCCCCGGGACCCACAGGTGAGCCGCCAGCAACCGCCGGCACAGCTCGCTGCTTCGCGCTTGGAGCCCCCCGGACACCGTCCCTGCTCCCCTCTGCTCCCCACCACTGGAGCCTGCTCCCAGGCTGGCCCAGGACCCCTACACCCCAGCCCAGCACTGTGGGGGCTGCGTCCTATTCCTCCCTCCTGTACCCCCCCCCCGACCTCGGAAGATCGATGCTGATCAGACAAGTGCGCACGCTGCCCGTGCGTGGCGGGACACCAGGCAGGCAGCCAGGCCGCTCACCTGGAGGAGGTCTGCAGGGCGTGCAGGACCAAGGACACAAAGCCGTGTCCCACCGCCACCTACGTGGGGTTACAGGGAAACACAACCTAAGGTGGAACTGTTTCTGGGCTGGCGAAAGCAGAGATTTATTCTTGGC